AAGCTAAAGCTTTAGGCTAGCGCGCTCCGCGCTGGACCATGAGGGCCATGCCGGATTTAATGGCTGCCGCCAGTGCCGCCGATCCCCAAGGGGAACTGCCCGTTCGGTTTAGGGTTTCAGGGTTTAGGGGTTTAGGTTTGCAAGAGTCCTGGATGCAAAAGGGGTTTAGGTTTGTTATATTGCAGTCCCTGCTCAAAAAAAGGTTTGTTATATTATGCCTCAAAACTCTCTTCTAATTTTAAACGCTTCGCGTCGTCCGCCTCGGCCCGGCCGCAAACAAAGAGGCGCCGGCGGAGCGGGTGAGGGGAAAGCGTTCGGCGGCGCACCAAGGCGGAGGGGTGGTGGGGTGTGGGTGGTGGGGGTAAACGCAGACCCTCCCGCAAGAAGAAGCAACCTCTCGGGATATCACTGGCGCCGCCCTGCAAGGGGGTCGGCGGATAACACGGTCAGGTGCAGGTACCTGGCTCTGGCGTCCCAGGACCATATCGGCACACTCTGAAGAGCCTCTTTATTACATGCCCACTTTTCAGGTGGGGAGCATCCCCCGGCATCAGCTGAAAAAGCATGACTGCCGACATATTAGAGATGACACGTCATACCAATAGAAAGCTCGGTAGCTAAAGACACCTGATCCTTCGAAACAGGAAGCACACACACACACCTACCCGGTTCTTGCCGGTCGCTAGTGATGAATTAAACTACAACGCGAACATTACGAGTGCTAGAGATGTAGCATTGGGGAGGAGTTGTCGTAGTAGGATTAGGAGGAGGAGGAGGAGGAGCAGAAATTGCGGTTGTTGTGAAGCTGCAATGGGCATTCCCTTGACGGTGTCGGACGTTTGTTGTACCAGGTTCAAGCTGCGAAAAAAACTTAAACTAATTACAAATTAGCGGCTTTAAGCCGTTTTAGTGGTGTGATAAAGCAGTTGATCTTATCAACAGTGGGTGAGAGCCAAATGTTCCTGTCACTAGTTAAGACTATATTGTCACGCAGCATGTCCTCCCCGCGGCAGTAATTGGAATTTGTGTCCTTCGTCGTCGAACCCTGCAGCCTCTCATATCATTACTCCCAACAACATTCCAGAAAGTCTGTATTCACATCGGAAACTCATTAATTTCAAGCAGTGATCCCGCACTTGCTTTTTCAGCGGCACACTTACTTCTCGACTGCATGCATATTTGCTCCGCATGTGGGCAAGTCTAAGTTTGCTCGTGAAGATTCGTGCTCGTGGCGTCTTGCTGCACCAATCCAGCTCGGTGGTATTTTGAACGTGTACATCGTAGAGGAGTGCCCAACCCAGTTGCAAAATCCAGAGTGAAGACTATGCAGACAGACCCGCGCACGCTGCTGAAGCTTTGATCTCAGGTTGAATTGCTCAGAGAATCGGGCACGCCTGTACCTGAGGCGCTTTGCACCGCTAAAGTAGCCAATGCTCCGTTTAACCGTTCGAAACATGGGCAGGAGAGGTTCATCTCAGTGAGGACGGCTGAGCTCCGTGTTCAGGCAAACTGTTGTTGACACATGACGCTTGACAGTATGATTCCGGGTGCCACGTTTTACCCGCGCCTTCAGAAGTGGTAAGACGCATCCATGTCATTGGAGAAGCAGCGCGGCCACCATCTGCCGTCCATCCTGTGTCCCATAATTGGAACTGTCTGACACATACTTAGATTTTCGCCCTTCAAGTTGACGGAGGGACTGGTCTTCGTGTGAGCCAGTGTGAGCCAGTCTCGCGAAACCGTGCGAGCATCCGACACCAGCTGATTCAGGTTGACAGGCAAAGCAAATCATAATCACCAGTAGCTTCTTTTGGAAGTGCTAGGAGGTTGAAGCACTGGCACGTTACCGCTTATACCCACGATGGATGACACCCCTAGCTGCAAGGTTGCCACTCATTTCGTGTTGCCTGTTGCGGAATCGACCGCAACCAGTACGCAAAACACAGTCGGCCCGAGAACAGAGCTGCAATGGGCTTCCCATCGGTGATTTCTCGTCGTGTTAACCTCGGCGGAGGGAGACGCAAGTCGAGGTTGTGGAGGTATGGCACGCTTGCCTTCAACGCAATTCACTATAGATTCACCGGATGCCTTACACCGGGCACCTGTTGTTTCGCTGCCGAACAAAATCTAGGAGTGGAATCCGTGGAATGGATGCGTTCCGGACAAAGGTGCTCTGCTACTGTTCGATCAAAACTTGCAGCCCGGAGGGCCAAGCAAATACTCGAACAGCAGATGCACCAAACCTTCCAGCTCGCTTTTCACCTGCTCGCTTTTTTCAGAAGCCCTCAACCCTGCAATGGGCACGCCATGCTGGTTTGACCTGTACAGGCTCATGCTTCCGTCGGCTCCTGGTCGCCACCGCGAGTCCTAGGTCCTAGGTCTGGGAAATCGAGGCAGTTTTCCAGCTGCGCCGATTCAGGTGGCTTCGATCGAGAGGAAAACTTCAAGAACCTGGTGTTTCAGCTCATGGCTTATCGATTGGCCGCATGTCTTCTTTCTCAGACCCAAGCCTGCTGATGCCCCTATTTGGCGAGCTGTTGTCCCGCAAACCATGCCTTACTGAGACCTGAAGGGCTGCATGGCTTGGTCCCGGTCCGTTCCTTAAAGCATTAGCTTGTGACACCCTGTTTTGTCTGTCTTTTCTCCAGTCGGAGTTCAGGCCCTGAAAAGACGGCGATGCAGCATTTGTGTGCTGGGCGGCTCTATCTCGCTACAAGCTCGTGGGTCCGCCCCCCTTCCTTTCTTTCCGCGTGCGTGTGCTTCGCATTCTGAATTTTTCAGTCGTGTAGGTGCATCCTGGCTTTTTCGTTTGCGCTTCACTGGAGCAAGCCATCATGTGCCTTTTCAGTTCGCCGCCACTCCAAGAAGATCAACAACAGACTTGATGTTTCGGAATTCCGTTTCTGCGATTTGTGTTTTTATCTCATAGCTCCGCTTCTCTATTTTCATAGCCGACAAGTTTGTTCATGCGAACAGTTCAGAGTTTGCAAGTTCTGTGCCTTTTGGAACTCATTGAAGCAAAAGGCAGAGGGTGGATTGGCAATCAAGATTGGTTGAGCGATGTTGAGCACAGCACAGTCAGCAGGCTCTAAGTGAAGATGTTGAGCCAGTGTGTGCCCAATTCGATAGTGCGAGTACGAGCATGTGCTCAACATTGCTGGTGATCCGGTGGATGCCCTCCCTCATGACTGAGAAAAACTCCCTTCCCATCCTGGTTCCAAACAAGCAAGTTGACTCAGACTTCCCTCCCTTCCCAGCCTTCCCAGCCAGCATTGTTTCACTTCAGCTTCCAGCAGAAGCTGACTACTACGTAGGGACGACGTAGGGACACAATGCACAAGCCCGTCTGTACACTTTTGTCTATGCTTGTGATGGAACAGGCATGTTCTTTGTGGAAGAGACGTGCTGCTTGAACGTTGCTCGTTGGCTGCGCATTAGATCGCGCATTTTGAGAACATGCGAGCGAGGTAAAGCGGTAAAGCCCTGAAAACTTGCCAGCTCTTTCCCTGGACCCTGGCTTTCCATTCTCTGACTTTCTTCTTAGGGGGAGCCGCAAAGCAAACACACGAAAAGATACCTCGTCCACCCGGCCCGCATTGTTGGACACCAGAAGCTGTGGTCTTTCCTGGAATGTCACGATGCATCCGGTATGACATTGGGGCGCGGCAGGCAGTTTTGAGGATGGTCGTGTTTGTGCGGATAGGCCCAGGGGGTTGCATGCGGAAGCCCAACTGGGGCAAAGGCGGTGGATCGTCTGGAGACAGAAGCTTAGATTCTGGACCGGCCTCCGAAAACAATCGTGGTTCTAAGTGCACACCGCGAGTTGATGGATATCTGCGCAGTGATCTGAGAACAAAGTATCGAGTCGAATCTTTTGCGTGTGCTGGCTCGTTGCAAAAGCTGCATGTTGATTTGTATGTCCCTCCCATATGGCCAGGCAAACGGTGAATGTAGAAGCAAAGTCCTGACAGACCACAGCTAAACATATACAAATATATATATATATATATATATATATAATATGAGACCGGGGGAGAGATGAGCCGCGAGTAACACTAAGAAGGTGGAGTGGAGTGCACATCTACATTTTGCGTTAAGTCATGTTTGCGCCTCTTGGCTGTAATGTATGTCTTCCCTAGTTCAAGGTGCCGCCCCTCGCTCGGCGCCGCGGAAGATCGCGGAACGTGTTACACTTTCCGTCTTGCCGAGGTCATTGGCAGGTCGATTCGAGAGGACGGTGTGGGGGAACATCCGTTTGCCTCCGGACATGGAAAGTTCTCTTTATTTGCTGCACTTTCATTCCTTCTCATTGCAATCTTCTCGTTCTGGTCTTGCTGTCTCTGCAACGTACTGTAACTTCTGCCAAAAGCGAAATGCTCCGTATTTCCAACACGTTCTGCACGCTCGCATTGTTTGCGTGCGTGGCCCGTTCGACTGCGCAAGACCACATTCTCGACGTCGGATTTGCTGGTCACTGGGGTCCAAAACGCCAGTGTTTTTGCTTTTTTCTCAGGAGGAGTGGGGGCGTTTTCAGGCTCGAAAATGTTGGTATGTTCCGTATTTGGCCGGCGTCGTTTTTTCCTGGACACGCGACATGGCTGGTATTTACGAGACTTTCTGCGACTGACCGTTTCGTGCGTGGCAAGACACTCCTGGGCGAAGCCGCAAATTCAATGGTGTTTGCAGCACTTTCGGCACCTTGCCTTACGATCGGCTCTGGATTTCTGGAATTTTGCTCGACACGAATTGGCCTTTTTGCTGTGGCGGACGGGGGTTTCTTGCGCACGTTAGTAGTTTCTTCATTCTGTACGCCTCTCCAGACATGCCTGGGGCCCGACACCCTATAGAATCGGAAGTGGACAGGCAACACCTCAATAAGGACTTGCTTCATGTCTACATAGCTACTGTTTGCGTATGATCATATATACGCCTGACATGGATCATTGCTATGGTCTCAGAAGGTGTTGGCAATGTGATGTTTGCCCGTGCTCTGATTGTCAAAGTGCTGAAACTCAAACAAGCGCGGGTAAACGGGGAAGTAACCATGACTCTCTTAAGTTAGCCAAGTGTCTCGTCATCTAATTATGACGTGCATGATAGATGTCAGAGTACTGATGTCTCTCCAAACAGAGACATCGGTTGAAAGCTACCTGACTCGTGCCTTGTGTGGAACCGCTGAACCTGACTCGTGCATTGTGGAACTGCTGAAGGAGATCTGCTTTTGCTGCATCAGTTCCTCATCACAGGCATAGTAAATCGAGGGCATCTTCCAGATGTTGTTAAGTGCTCTCCTGCGCAAAGTTTGCCCGATACACGCTTGCGCAGAAACCCCATGCTTTTCCAAAATCGCGAACCGTTTCGTGGCGGCGCTTCCTAGTTTAAGGCAAGCACTCGCGAGATTGATCGTGTTACTCGAGGCAGAATCGAAGTGGCGTCGCAACAGACGGCATTCAACATGCTACAGTCCGAAAGGTATCGCCCAAATCTAGTTCGCGCATTGGAAAGACGCGGCGTTGCAGTGGAGGCTGGGTGGAATTCATGCAATATTCAGTTTTCGAGGCGTTTGTTTGTGAGACGATGGAGGATCTCCCCGCGGCTGTGGGTACCGCAGGCAGCCGCCCGCTGGGAACTTTGTCGCCTACAATTAGTCAATTAGTCGTTTAGCAGCAACGGAAACCAGCTTGCGCTGAGGTTGGCACTCGTGGTCCACGACATGGTGTTAACGAAGCGCCCAGATCTTCTAATCGTGGAGGCTTGCGCACTAATGGGTACCAGAGTAGGTCCTTACCACATCTAATGGGTACTGTATTGTCGTGGCTGCAGTTGAGAAAGATGGCCTGTGTAACCTATAACAATTCGGTTAATACGTATCTGTATACATATATACACATACATACATATGTCTACATATATACATATGTTTGTTTGTTCGTTTGTTCATATAGGAAATACTATCCAGCAGTATATCCACGCACAAGGTATGCACATATTATATATATATATATATATCTCTGTGTGTGTGTGTACACACATGCATGAATGCGTATATGGAATCATGCCTGCATGTATGCAGCGAAGGAGTAAGATCTCGAAAGTGCGTTGGGCGGCGTGGTGTAGAGGTTTGACTCCCAATCGAGTTTCCCCTCAGCGTTTGTGATCGTCTTCGGAGCTCTTCCGCATGCTTGGCATGCTCTGACACACACTAGGGCTTTGGATGGCTCCGGATCAGCTCTGCCAGGTTGCCGTGAACGACGGGGATGACCTCTTGGAGAGCACACCAAATTCGAATGCTCCTTGGCCACGCAGCAGAACGCGGGGGGCGAATCATAGTGACAGTGGCTATGGCAGCTGTACATGAATGGTCCACGTCGATTTCTGGGGCTGCATGGTTTCAGAATGTTCCAGAGCAGGCATGGGTGGGATGGGCAAGCAGAGACTCTGTTTAGCCAATGGCAGGTTGTTGATTGGATGCTGTTCTAGTCTTTGAGTCTGATGCCAGAACATCGGCATTCGGAGATGCGCTTGGGTCCATTTGCGGCCGTGCTGTTTGACGACAGCTCCAGTTTTCAAGAACATGACCAGGCGGTTCGGCCTTGCCAGATCCAATCGGGGACAAAGCTCAGCTGCTTTATGCCGGGCATAGTCGCGCGCATATCAAGCGAATGCAGCAAGACTAGAGTAGAGTCAGTAGAGCAGGTTGAGCAGGTCAATTCTTCTGCCTGTCTGTTGTGGGATGCACTTGCCGGCCTGCTCGGTGCCTACCCAGGGAGCTTGGCTCGGCCGCTAGGATTTTCTGCTTCGTACTCCTTACTCGCCGCCTTACACAGCAGAGACGATTTCTGCGGGTTCGGATCGGGTTGGAGATAGAAATGCCGGTCCTCAATAAGCCTGCGAACAATGAGGCCATCTCGATCTTGCAAGCCGCAGAAGGCATTGTCCGTTCTGTCCGGCGCGGTTCTCCCAGCCACAACCCAAGCTTTCGATCCGGGTTAAGTGATGCCCGGCCCTCTTGATATACAGTGGTGAGGTACAACAATTGTGTTTCTCGAGATGTTCTTGCGCGACGACATGGAGGCACTTTCTGAGCCTCCGCACAGCCGAAATCCAAAGGATCCGAGGCCAGGCTAGAGGTTTCGCAGGGGGTCGTGCGTAAGCATAAACAGCCGCTTAGAACAACGAAGGATAAGGTCTCGCAACATCAATGGCTGATTAAAGCTCAAGGCCTGTGAAAGAGGATGTCGCTGCAGGAGCTTCTCACCGAGCTGCCACAGAGGCCATGCCATAATACTGGAGAGTGCACCACGTGAAAAGCCATGGTTGTGCCGAAAACTGCTCCGACCGCAGCCCTGCGCAAACGCACAAAGTGAAGGTATACACACCGGGTCCCTTTTCGCGATTTTGGCAGGATCACCCATCGCTCATGTCAAGAGCACAACAAATGGTACCAGTATGAAGCATCTTCCGATCACACACATTTTTGCGCCGCCCAACTCGAAAAGCACTCCAAGCAAGGCTGCACTCCACAGATGCAACAGCTTCAGATGCAACAGCTTCAGCTGCGCCGACTGCACAAAACAGCTCGAACGTCCATCCCGATGTCCAGCGGCAAGCGGCTGCAAGCTTGAAAGCCTTTGCAAACGAAGCCACCTGTCACCTTTCGCGACCCCACCTTGCCCCTTTGAAGCGAAATCTGGCGAGGTATTCCCGATGTCAAGCACAATCCCTCCCAAAAGGGGCAACATCGAAACTTTAAGGCCGACTTTAAGCGCGTCATCATTGAGCAGACGGAGAATTCGAAAGCTGCGGAGGGCTCTGGCGAGCCCGGTGATTTAAGTCACTCACCGCCTAACCTAAGTGCCACAGCCACAGCCTGGAAACACAATCAACCACTCCGGTGAGAACGCAGAGGATACAGCGCAAGGCTGGTCCAAGGCTACTGACGTGCTATAAACCAGCTGATAAGCGGAAGGCTCGATGACCATTGTGGCTTCTTTTCAATATTTTAACTAGCAACAAGGGCTTGCCTGGGATGTTTGGGGCAGTCTGGTTTACCGCATTGTGCACGCTGGGAGGCACGCATGTTGAAGACGGGGTCGGAGGCTTGGCAGCACAGCTCGATGGAGGCTTGGACCTGCACTGCATGCATGGTAGTTGCAGATTTCATGAATGAAGCATTGCATCAGGAGGCCGTTATGTGGTACCATGATGTAGCTCCGCGACTGCATCGACCAGAGCCTAGCAGGCTGATATCAACTCACTGCATTTGACATCTTGCGCCGGTGGCAGATCTGAGGCCATGTTTGTTCCCACTATGGGCTGGCTCAAATTGATTTGGCCGTGCCCTGAGGACGCGGCGGTTCCCTGCCTTGCAATGCTTTAGTCACAGCTGCGTCACGTCTGGGGCTGGGGTGCTTGGTACCATACTCATGATCTTGTCTTCCCTTTCATAATGATCGTTAACATCATGTGTTCTCAATTGTCAAAGAATATCAAAGGATCTGTGGAGTGACTAGGGTCGGTCAGGACGCCTTGTTGGTCCTCGGTGCGCTTGGTGGGTGAGTAATTATGCCGATGAGATGTTAGGAAACTTGATCATCGCATCTCTATCGGTTGCACGCAACTCGCGCCACATGTGCATCTCTGAATCTCTCTGACACCTTTTGGCGAATGCAAGTGCAAAAGTCTCTCAACCCTTCATGCTGGTGCAGGCGCCTTTTATGATGAGTGTAGGGTGGTCAATGGCACCCCTGTGCTGTGCCTTTGCAAGCGCATGTGTTACTTGTCGTGCTTGACCCCAACTCATCGCAGCTGGGGCCGTCGTTAATTATCGTTCTCCCATCAAAAGGAATCTTTAGGCTGTATATCAAGCCTGAGCTGACACCGTCTCCAAAATTGCATGAGTCTCACCATGCAGAATTTCAGCGCTGACAGGGCAAGTGCTAGGCCGCTTGCGCGCTCCTCCCACCCCCACATCCCCAACAGCAGCACTCACGCCTTTAGATCATATCAATTCTAATATTCGCATTATTACTAGTATCAATATTAAGACTTATGTACTACTATTAGAACTAAGCTTAAGCATAATACGTAGATTTATACTAATAGTAATCGTACTAGTAATAGTAATATTCGTAGTAACAAAAGTAACAGTAACAGTAACTGTACTAGTACTGGTAATAGTAATCGTAATATTAATTGTAATAGTAATACGAAAGTAGTAGTAGTGTAGTAGTAGTAGTAGTAGTAGTAGTAGTAGTAGTAGTAGTAGTGGTAGTAGTGGTAGTAGTGGTAGTAGTGGTAGTAGTAAGAGTAGTGGTACTAGAGATACTACTACTGATAGTAATAGTAATAGGAAGAGCAATGGGCAGCGGATCCCCCCCCCAAAAAAAATGCAAAAGAAGAAGAAACATAATGATTACAGAAATTCTCCGACCACCATTAACGCCTCCGCCCTGCTTTATCTCTCCCTTTCAGTCTATCTGCCTTTCCCTTGCTGTCGTCTGTTTGCGGTCGCTCAGTGTGGTTCTCTGTTTAGTTGCGTATGCTGAAACTTTCCGTGAGTGTGCCCGTTTTTGTTATAGGTGGGTTTTGTTGTGGAGGGGCTTGGATAGCAGGATGTGATGATGAGGGTGTTTCTCAGGTTGTCGTGGGGTTGCATGGCATAGGTCTTCGTGAGGTTGGTTGGCCCCTGGTTTTTCGTGGGACTCTATCTGCTAAACGGCGCTTCGCGTGTGGTGTCGTGACTATTCGTGTTCCCAGCTCAGTGGAGAATTGTAGCAGGGTTGCATGGATGATTGCATGAGATGACGCTAGCTCTTCCCTCGCGTTGGAAACGCTTTCGGGACACTTGGCCACCAACGCACGTGATACCCTGTCAAGTTGCTGCTGGACCCGACCTTGCATTCCAAGATTCCCGCTTTGCGCTCCTTGGGAGCGGAGCAACGCTCGGAATGGTTTCGGGATGATTGCGATGGCCTCAGCGAGTTCACAACCTTCGCTTTTGGACATCACCGGCGCGAGTGCTGCAAAAGGCCATCATTCAGATGCAGGCGGCGAAGCTCTGGGCAATTTGTTGGCCAAGCTTCTGCTGTGGGCAGTTCGCCAGCTATGCGCTCATCATCAAGCATATGGTTTCAGTTTGTTTGGATTGTTGTTTGTTTCGGTTGGCTACCTTGCATATTGCGCTGGAATTGTAGATCCGCCGATTCAGCCAGCTTGAACAACCTCAGTCGTTGATGCTTCGACAGCCCAGGCCAGCCTTGCCCGCCTTGAAGGCGCCGCGTGCTGCAATTCTGTGGTGAGGTGTCTTCTTTCACACTTTCAGGTTCCAGCGGCCCCAAGCATCCCAGCTGCTCTGGATGCTTATGCCTGAGACACAGCGCAAGTGGCCATCACTGCAGTCATCTGCAATCGAGGCTGGCTGCTGGTGCAATGGCAAAACCATCCGGGTCGGATTACGAGCTCGAATATGCTCACAGACACACAAGTAGATTGTTGCAACATGTTGCAACACGTTGCGGGCAACCCTAGCCTAGCTAGTCTGTGGCTCTGACGAGGGTGAGCACAGGTGCTTCGTGGATGGTTGAGTCCGGCTTCCTTGGTATCCACAAGGAGGGACAAGGCCGCCGACTGCAAGTGTGCGATCAGCTGAATGACAATTAAGCAAACCGAAAGCATACAAAATTGACCTGAGCACGCTGACGACAGCACGCCGTGCCAAAGCTCTTCATTCCTCCGGACATGCTTCGGGCATCTTCGGGCAAACGACGAAACTTTCCAATTTAGCTTCCAAATTCAGCCAAACCATACGGAGCTTCACGGTCCAAGGAAGATATGCTTGCTGGCGCGGCATGACATGGCGGCAAACTGCAGCTGAAAGTCAAGACGACAAAAATCTGAAGTCGTGATATGGCCTGACATGAACCTCCGGCTGGAGAGGTTTGGTAAGCTGGCTAAAACTACGCCTTGTTGGATAAGCGTAGTTGGTCCGGCACACCATTCATGGAAAGACACAACGCCGGCTAGATGGCAAAGCAGAAGAACACCTGAAAGATCTGAAAGCACAGGCAGAAAAAGCCGGGCAGACGCTGTAGTGTAGGCAGGTCCACTGATCGCTACAGTGACAGACTGAGATTTATTCGGCTTTGATGGTGTCAGATTTGCCGTGAGGACTTGCTGCACCTTGGACAGCAAGCGGACCGAGTGCACGCCAGTCATGCTGTCCGCGCTGCCGTGTCTAGAGCTACCACTGCCTGTTTCTGGAACACTTCTGAACGTAGATCTGCTCAGTGGAGGACTGGCTTCTTCTCTATACAGCGGGCAAGGCAGTGAGCAGCGGCTGCTCAGCAGGAGACAGCTGTTGACCCTGTGCTGACAGGCGACAATTCCTTTCAAGGGCAGCTCCTGTGGTCTGATGACTTTGCTCGGCACAATCCTTGGGTCTTTGCTGCCAAAGACCGTGGGTTCAAGTCGCATCAACCAGGACCAGATGCTCCTTGCCTGCTCTGGCCTTACTCCTCTCGAGACCTCTCGGAAGACATTTGGCTGGTTTGCCGGGGAAACGAGGCAAGTCAGAGTGGATGGTGGTGGTGTGCGACGTCTTTCGCTCCTGGATCAGTGGCTGCAAGCTTGGAGATACACATTTTCCCTCTGCACGTGGGATTCAGATGCTCTCAGATGCCAGACCGGTTAGGTGCTTCTACTGGCGGGATGCTGTTGTCCTCCTTTGTGATGGCCTTGCATTGCCAGCATGTTAACACCGAGGCAGCTCAGAACAGTCATGGCAGCATGGCAGTGACATCCGTGCACCGCAGCTTAATAATCCATCAGCTCTATGTTACATGCCGATTATTGCTGGGATGCTCTCAAGCTGCTAGGGGGAATCCCCACAGAACAGAAATGCGTGCACAGTTTCTGAGCACAGATGTCACGCACGTAGTCTGACTGCCTCCCAGCTCCCACTTAGTGCAGCCAAAGCCAACGTGAGCTCCACCAGCCCATGCCATGGCCGTGGCAGCCCATGATGTGGCTGGCCAATGGCTGCAGCACGAGAAAGAAAGAGAACAGCACCTTGGCAAGAATGTCAGAGATTGGTTGTAGCTACATGTAGCTATACTGGGTTTCTCCAGACTTCGGCCACCTCGCTTGAGGCCCAAAGGATTCTGGGGCACAGCCTTCGGCCGCACGGCTGCATGTTGGCAGCTTCTCGAAGCGCATGATGTGATGGTGCGAGACTGTGCGATAATGTGCTTCGCTCAGCGAGGGCCTTACGCGCCGAGTGCTGGCCCAGGACTGAAGGGCTCCGTCCTGCCCTATGGCTTCCTATACTCCATGCCTTCGACCATCATGGAGCCGTGACTGTAGTAAGCCTTTCAATAGATGCTGATCAGCCCATGATTTCTCGCAACCGGAATCGAGCTTCCATGACGGTTTGCGTGACAACGGTATTCAACTGCAGACATCGTTCTTAGATTTTTCGTTCTTTTGGATGAAGCCGGAGCCGGAGCCACAAACAAGTCCCAACGTGGCATGATTCGACAATCGGCCAGCACAACGTCCTATCAACGTCCTTTCCGAGGCCGTGATTCTGCACATTTTCTGGAGCCCGGATCTGAAAGGAGAAGAAAATCCGCAGGACCCTGTCCATGAACACTTGTCTGGTGGCATGCACTTCCCCGGCTCGAATTTTACGTCAATCCGTCAAACTAATCGGTGACAGGTAGGCGGCTTCATGGCAATCTGGGGCGGCTACACTTTCGTGCTTGGCTTTCTCATTGTTTTCAGGAACAACCAGGCCAGGCATGAAGAGAGAGAGAGTCGTGCATGTCCACCCATTCGGCAGTGCCTCGATCATTCGCAGAGAGGGTGGAGCCTGTTCGCAAAGGCCTACAACAGATTCTGGGAGGCAGCATCCAAAATGCACGAACTGCGGGGTGAACTGTTCAACTGTGCCAGCACACTTTGTGCATATTGCTGCGAACCCAAGATGCTTGGCTGCCTCCTTATTTTCGATTTTGGAAATAACTTTTTCGTCGTAACAACATGCAACAACCAAGATTCAGGAAGTTCGGACCAGAAGACTCGCGAGAGCATGCAGCTGCAAAGGGGCATGTGGATGAATTTCAGCACCTGCTCGTTCGTCTTATAAGCTGCTTGTCGGAATAGTCGCTGAAGACTGCCTTTGCAAAAGGCGTGCTTGTGTAGCGGGATCATTTCGGCTTGCTAAGGTCTGCTGTTCTCCTCCTGCTGTCATGATATTGCAAGCGAAGATCCCCACATAGCCCAGCTGAAATCTAAGAGCGTTGGCGACCTCGACATGCAGGCGGCTTTATAGTTAGAAGCATGACGGAAGTGTTGCGCATACTCCAGCTGGGTCAGGCTCAGAACCTGAACAAGAAGGCCCGCCGTCAAGTGCTGGAGTGGTTCTGCATGCTAAGAAGATGTGCGCATCCACATGGTGTCGTGGGCTTTACGTGCATGCTTTGCCCGTTTTGAAACATGGATGCACCGCTGAAGACTTCTTCGGTCGAACGATGGATAGCAGATTCAACATGCTGGAAGTGATCTGTATTATCTGTATCATATGAATACAATCGGCAGGCGATAACTAGACGCATATAAAGAAGCCCCTCTCTACTTCGGGTCTTACGATGGTTGTCTCTATGCTGCAAGCGCTTCCGCAAATCTCACGGCCTTGTCTCCTGTTCAAAACGCTTGGAATGGGAATGGGCAGTAGAGGCTATGTCCGTTACAAGTCTGCTTCGTGCATGTGTACGAGTTCCCCGTTGCGAGTGGTTTTGCGGAGCATGTCTGGCCTCGGCTACGTTTCGAAATGCCTGGCAGGGAAAGGGGTGGCGGGCTGAGTTTGTTGGGAATGTGGTAGTTGGCAAATCCAGATGAATCAAGTTTTCTTCGTGTTTCATAGGCGGCTGTGAACCGGAAATGGGTAAGTGCTGCGTAGAACTTCAACAATCAAGCAGACTACCAGTTTCTGTCCCAATTCATTAGAAGACAAGCTTGTAGATCAAGATTGAGAGTGACTGGCGCCAAAACCAATCCCTGTGTGATGGGCCAGTGTCCCAGAGTGTTCCAACATGTCGCAGAAACCTCTGGGTTCAGTTGCGATTAGGTGCCGGCAACTGTTTCAAACTTCATTGCAGCATATAGTGAGGGCCCGTTTTCGAGTTTGTGATGTGCCGGAGGGTCCTGTCCGGCCACCATCCCGCAAGTCACATGTCAAGTTATCCGCGTCAGGCAGATCACTTGAAGATGCAGGCCTGGGGCTGCTGATTCGGCGGGTGTTTGTACAGCCGGCTCGCAAGCCTATCATGCACGTTTTCGAGTGCGGCACATAAATTGTAAGTACCTCGGAAGGGGGGCGCGAATTTTGGAAGCAGGTCTTGGACCTGGGAGGCGTGCACGCTGAGAGCAGCTTGCCTCAGACAACTCCATATCGACTTACGCAATGGTCCATGTTGGTGGAGAGATCGCCCCCAGGCCTAGTGCATCTGAATGCAGTACCAAGCAGGCCGGGAAATGATGTTTGAAGCTGCAGACAAAGCTATTCAGCTATTCGCTTGGCAGGTGCGAGGTAATAAGCCAGTGGATCTACAGGCTGAGATCCTTATCACATTGCAGTGTGGCATTGAGCCTGCCAGGTTCAGTCGGTGCTTTTGCTGTCTCAGGTTGATTATCCAAAAGCAGCGTGAAGAACCTGTGGATGGCCTGCAAATCAAAGTTCTGGATGTGCCGCCGCCGATTTTGGGCCGACCGTTGGCAGATTTGGCATCAGCCCTTGGTGACCTCTACCGGGTAGCGGAGCTGCAAGCAACTGCTGTTGTATGTATCCTACGAGAAAGCTGAAGCAGATCGGCCATAGATTGGCAAAGGATTGTTTACTAGTACCAGCATCCACCGCCTGTGCCATCGACACAGGGGCTTGGCAAGGCAGTACAACGTTTTGGAGAAGTCAAGCAAAAAGGCTAAAGTGATAAGAAGCATCGGTGCGACGATGCCTCTCTTATGCCCTTTCTTGCATGTGGACGTGAGGCTGAACTCTGACTAGTGGATTCTGATGTTTCTTACTTGTGGTGAATTCTACCCGTAGTTTTGCTGAGAGGGGTTGCAATCTTAGCCCACCGGGCCCACCGTCCCGTGGACTTCGTTCACAAACACGGAGCTGCTTCTGCAGCAGCATTGGTGTTCAGCCCAACTGATGGGTGTCCGGACGGGACAGTCCAGCTTCAGACAGATTCATATCATACATGTCCACACCAACATCACTTCGGAAAGTTGTGCTTCAGTGCTGGGGTTGCGGTTGAGCATCTAGCGTAGCTGATTAGCCCACTTTATCTCCCCAAACCCCAGCACTGTCGGGCATGCGCAGCAGGTGCTTACAAGCACGAGGTTATTATGCTGCATCAAAGCTCGCAGACTCTTTGTACCAATTGAACACGGTCCAGCACACACCCAGAACAAGGCATGCCCTGTCGGTCTTCTCGTTTTGCAGAGCTACGGTCACTGATGGGTCCCGGGCAAGTTTTGAGTCCACACGCTTGCTGGCACCTTGTTGCAAGCTTCAGGCACGAAAGATTGCCGAGATCCCTTTTCCTTTTCCATATGCCCAGATGATCTTGGACATGCTGTTGGTTTTCTGCATCGCCCACGCCTCGACTCTGGAAGATATTGATTTGCAGTTTCCAGCCCGAGCCAGTTGTCTCTACTCGTGCCAATCATGTAGCAAAGCGCTCTCGGAAGACATGAGGTCACGCCCGTCTTGGCCAGCCAGCTGGTGAGTTCAACTCCGATGGCTCCTACATTGCAGCAGCAATTCTTTGTCGTTCTTTGTTCATTCCGTCGTTGGCACTTATTTTACGACCTGTGTCCATCACACATTGGGTATCGGTTTGCAGATGTCTTTGGACGGCAAAATCGGATGTGCTAGCACATCTGGGGGATATGTGTTTGCTCTGCCGAGCAGTATCCTGGGCCAGAAGTCGTTGGGGTAAACCTCTTACTCCGTAGTTCCAAGCAGCTTGCGGCATGTCGCTCGCAGCATACGTTAGGCCTGAGTTAAGGCCCTATGATTAAGATACCGCTGAAGACACCAGAAAGCTTGCCACCTGCTTGCCATTTGCATGTCACCATACATGCCCACAGACTGAGTGGACGTCTGCAAACCCTTGAGTGCTTAGAGCCCCTAATAGCCAAATATTTTTGGAACAGAACAAAGACAGCAAGCATAGGTACGTGCGTGTGTCTGGGTGTGCGCACAATTGTGCGCGTCTATCCTGTGTACAAACATGAAGACAGACTTCTAAGTTTTCTAAGACAAGCAGTCCAATTACACGCGCCCTTTAAGAGGTATTACATGCTAAGATCCACATGCCTGCATACACTGTTCTGCAGTGCCTGCATCGCACGCCTTCTCTAACTTCTGTGATGTTCTCGGCGTCGGTTTTGGTCCGGCCTGTCGACATGGCCGTTGGTTGAGCCCGGTGCATTATTGGTAGACACCAAAAAGCAGCGAAATTCGAGCCGACCCCCCCCCCCCCCCCCAACCCCAAANNTCGATGTACTTGGAACCTCGCCAGGCTTGTCCCAGTTGTGAGTGCTGAAATCACGCCACTGGGAGGGGGTAGGGGTGGGTTACTCTACTGTTAACCAGCCAAGCTCCTCGAACTCACGGATCACAACGCCTGGGGCCTCCGGCCTCGGCGGATTAGGTGCACGAGGGTGCATGCTGGTCGTATCAAGAAGGCCGACTATACCACCACTGCAAGCAGAAAGTAATTGCAGCAAAGATGCAACAGCCACTCTTGAGCCGGTCCGCCTTTGTGCCTGTGCCTTGTGACGATGCTCCTTGGGAAACGAAACGAAACCTTGCTGTGCAGAGCACGCAACGTGCGAACTGCATTGTCGCACCTGTATAATTCACTTCTCACTTCCAAGATGCAACCGTGCGAGGTTGTGTTGTCACATCACTAATTTCAAGCAGTGAGAGACATAGCTTGGTGCGGGCAATGTGCCCGCCGAGGTCAGTGAATCCGTTCAGCATACTGCTCAGATGTCTTGGCACTGGCCTGTCCCCGTCCGCTCCCTCCTGATCCTCCTGCCGTGCGTAGTCGTCCAACCGTCGAAGTGGCATGTCATTTTTAAGGCCTCACCGCAGATCCACCCTGTCCTTTCATTGTACAGACCGTCACGATCTTCACCGAGCCTTGCTAGCTTCGTTGGTCAGCGTCGAAGCAGCATGAGATACCCGCTGCCTTCTCTGAAAGGTTTATGAAGACAGCTCGGTCCGCAAGAAACACGATGTCAGGCCAAGCAAATCCGATGAAGCCCAGCACATGCAGGGGGTTGCATGCACAACACATGCACCTGAACGACCAGCGAAGGCTATTACGGTAATGCTGCAAGCGCGCGGCTTAGGTCCTACCTCTAGTCTTTGATGCCCTGCTCAAGGGCGAACCGAGGTTTGTGTACATGGATAATGACGCCGGTGCATCCTGGTAGGTACGGGCAGAAAGCAGCTTAACCCTCATGAGCCATGTAACACTATCAACAAACTCCGAGTCCTGGCCGTCATGATGCAGCAAGAGTTAGGCAGCTCTGGCAACTTTCTGCGTAACTGCTGGATACTGGGCGCTATTCCTCATTGCTGACGAGATCGATCAGCCATTTGGCGGAGACCCTAATGACCTGAACCTGTCGAACATGCAGCGCGACTTCAACGACACCTGGCAAAATTCAAGCCTTGTTTGCCTCGTCCTTGACGGGGCAAAGTCTGGTCCTTGAGACTATTTCTGGCCTGTGACTGCCACATGCTATCAAGTGCTAAGAGCTCCCAGAGCGCATTGGGAAGTGGTTCGCCTTGAGGCCAGCTTGATCACCTTACTGGACCGTAAGACTCAGACCGTACCTTCGTTTCGCCCGAATCAAAGCCACTATCCTGCACAAAGGCACAGGCGGATGGATGCATGGCTTTCGGTTGCTGACATCTTGCACTATCTTGTTGGCCAAGGGCTGCAGAGAAACTCAACAACAGTGATTGAGTCCCGGTTCCGCAACCCAATGCAGGGGGAGTTCTGGCACCTTGGACTTTTTTGCGACCTCCTTGGCTAACAGGCACTTAATGCCTTCAGACTTGGCCAGGCCGACCAAAGATCAGATTGCCCGCCCATCGGAAGAGCTCACGAGGCGAGTGCCATTTCTGTGTTCGGAGCTTCGGGGCATCGGTGAAGAGCAAATGACAGAGGCGGCGCCAAGGTGACAACGAACAGACACTCGCAACAACTGAAGGGTGACGTAGAATCATAAGCCGGTGCCTCCAGCGGGCAGAAGTCTGCGTTGTTCGGTGTTGCTCTTAGTGACCAGTACTATGCCAGCACTGGCACGTCTTTTCAGACAGCTGCCTCAGCGCTTGTATGCCGAGGGCCCAGCTAGTCGGAGCTACGGCTGATGAGGCCAGCGAGAACGGCATCGCTTCAGGATTCGGAGATAGTGGGAGGGTATGCAGCTGGACTTCGTAATTTGCATTGTGCTCACCATCACCATAGCCAAAGCGTCATTCTGTCCCAGAGGGCTGGATAGCATGCTGTCGCTCTTGCGGCAGGTCCATCTGAATGTCAGAAGCTCAATCTGTGGGCCAAGTTTTGAAGAAATGTTTATGCACATGACATATTGCCCACAGCTGACCTGCACCTGCCGACTGGTTCAGCAAAGGTTGGAACGCCACGGTCTCTCGAAGAATGGCAATCGCAGAGTGTTACGCTTGCATTTGAGGCAGACGAGGCAGAGGTTTGGGACATGCTTCTGTTGACAGGCCCGTCACACAAGAAGGAGAAGAAACTGCAGAAGAAGAAGAAAAAGCAGCCATCTTGGGTGTTTCATTTTGGCAAAGTTGACTGCGAAAAGGCTGCAATCCAGCTTGCATCAAGGTCGGCAGCAATCACGCGCGAATTGGGGCTGTGTCCCCAGGTTCAGTCGACCCCTACAGAAACTCTCTTGATTCGCTGACCTGCTTCAGGAAGTTCTGTAGGGCATGCAGGCCTCCAAGTCTCAAGGCCGTAATTAGTATTGAGGCAATGGCTGCAACTGTAGGAGGAATGGTACACTCCGCTTCGGCATTCATTCTGCACTAACTATGTAATGCTGCCAATGCAGAGGCGCAGCTGCTACTTGCAACGGAATCTGTAACCTCGTTGGCGCATTCCAAGGCCAGACGAGACAGAACAAGCCCAGAGCATGCCCGACAACAGAAAAGAAGCCAGTGACGCTTTGTATGTGGACCAAGTAGCTGCCACTGGGCCGAGAGATGTGCCATCATCCGGCATGCACATGCAGTTGGGGCTTCGCGTTGAAGCAGAGCCAGGAGAGCTTAAAGAGCGGGCTTCTCTTCTAAACTCATAGCTTGGGCAAGAAAGCGTCGCAGGCTGTTGCCCAAGGCAAGCAATGCAGTCGCTGCCATGCCCGGTGTTTGTATATTTTGTATGTTCTTGCCCACTGCGTGCCTCGCACATCCTCGCGTGATGCTGCTACCAAGCCCGTCGTCATGGACCCAGGGACAAGCGTGTCACGTCAGGGCATGACGTAATTTCTGCGTAGAACCACCCAATTTGCTCCCCGCCGTGCAACTGCTTCAGGCAGTCTGAAGCCGTTGCATGGTGTGCAGCACCGTGACCACTCTGTAAAGCAGAGCGAATGCAGACCGGTCAACACACAGTCAAATCCACTTGACATTGGCTTGGTGCCTGGTTGCCTCGTTTAGCCGCACATGCATTCGAAGTGCGAGGCTTTTTTTGCATTAGCATCAGAGCACATGCCATACTTCATCAGTAAGTAACAGCGAGAGAGAAGGCAACATGTGCTATAACATGTGCTGCCAGGCTGACACAACCCACACCCTGGAGCTGCAGGTGGAGGCGTCTCCCGATGCACCACCCGCCCCCGAGCTGCACGGCAAAGCGTGCATGAGGAAGACACGCCGGATATGTCCATTCTGAAGCGACAACCATGCTCCGAGCTCTGGGGCAGGCCCGCTGTGTGACTGAATCACTTGTTATCGGTCACAGGGTGTTGTGCATGCGCCGTGTCAAGGTTCCAAGAAGAGGCACGAGAAGCAGGGCGGCAGCCACAGAAACTCTGGATGTTATATGCGTGCGCCCGTGCCTGAGCTGTTCGCAGAAAAGCTGGAAGAAGACCGAATTCCCAAGCGGTTCTGGGTGTTGGAGAAGCTGCAATTGCAGCAGCATTGCAGGAGGGTATCGAAAGTTTGTGTATGCGGTGCTAACAACATCGTGTGTGTTCTGCGTGTTATCGCGTTTTAGTGCGGCATATTTAGCAACATTCCTCTTACAACAAAGAGGCTTTATTTGAACATATTTGTTTGTGTGTGCGTGCGTGGGCCATCTCCTTCCTGCTGTGCGTGCAGCGTCCGCTTGTGTTTTTGCCTAGTGAGGTCTGGTGGCTCTGCTGTTTGGTTGAGTAATGAGAAGACACAGAGAGCTCTTTTCCAATATGTAATGAATTAAGGGAAACCGAAAAAAAGAGCCCTTTCATTCTTGAACCCAACTCCAAGAGCTGATCTTTCCTTCATAAGAAATGCGAAAACTCCTATGTAAGTCTTTCACCCACATTCGTTGTAAGCCACACGAGCCTCCGAACTTCAGCGGCACACTTGGTCGGAAATGATTAACCTCAAAAGCATGCAAAGGACTCTGCGCTGTTCGTCACACTATTGTATCCCAAAACGGAACAACAACCGCGGAAGGCTTCACCCACTTCGCATGAGGTAGCTGCGGGAATTGGCCGGCAATGGCCAAACAAGCAGCCATAATGCGATCCTTATGGCAACACTCCCTGCTCGCGGTAAGCCCACTAAGTGCCTTGAACCATCGACCGAAGGACCTGAGCTGGCTTTAAGCCGGTGACTGCAGGGCACACAATGCAGCAGTACACCCACGGTCATAGCTTTGTTTAGGAAGCTAGCCTGAAATCCGAAAGTAAAAATGCATTCAAGCATCACTGCAACCCAAGTGCATCTGTCGGTTGTTTGTTTAGTGCCCCATCGCCACCGCGTAAGAGAAGCTAACACATCGTCGCCAGCAGCACACCCTCTTAGCTTCACAGACGGGACAACTTTGGGCACTAAGTATGGAGACTTGGTCCCAATACGCTGGAGCGCTGCACTCAACCACGGGTGAACACTCCACACATTGACATGCACACTAGCAGGTGAAGCACAACCTTGCGCGATAGTGGCACAAAACTTTTCCTCTGCCGGACAAAGCACGACAAGTCTTGATGCGGAGCATAAAGACCCGGAGCACTGAAGGGTTTAACATGTCTATGTGGCGCTGCTGTTTGGAGCTTTGTTCACGCTCTGCGCTCCTGCCCCCTCTTTGTACCGTGACGACGGGCTTGGACATGCCGTTCCCACTTGTCTGGGCTACGGGCTGTTGAGCAGTTGTCTGACGACGCGTTTCTGCATCTGCTCTTCTCGCCGCAGCACCCTTGCATGTAGGCCTACTGTCAGCCCACATGCACTTTGTGGCTGGTGTGTGTCAAGCCCAGCGTTCACTGTTGGAAGGCTTGAATTTGTGATCTGATGTGGCATATATGCCCGTTCTGTATATATATATATATATATCTATCTATCTCTCTCTTTTGTTTCGCTTTGCAAATACTGACCGCAAGACGATGGTTTCACGACCCATGCTGCTCCTGGAAGTAAAGTGACCAGCTCAAGTTGACCTGGGATTACCACTGAAGCTGCCGAAGTACGACGGTGTTTCCACTTTTCGTGAAAGGCACTGCCGTCCACGAAAATTGGAACTCGAGTTTCAACAGCGGTTGCGACATCCGGAAACGTGATTTCTGATGAGTAAGCTTGTTCAGCTTCAGCTTCGCTTGGCATAAACATGACCCCCGTTAACATACCATGATAGTCAACTTTCATTACCACGAATTGGTCGCGATTCAGAGTAACAGGGGCAATCAAAAAACAAATGTTGATGAGTTTCACGAACATCGCACTCATGACAATCATTCGTATTCACCAACCCTGCAACCTAGGACCTGTGTAGATAGCCCCTGTCAGACTCTGTCAGTAGGAGACCAAGAACAGCTTGTGTGTGATTAAAATTCACATGTTTTAAAATCACACGGAAGCCGATTCAGAAAAGGCTGCACAAACTTAAAGGTATCTTCCTTATCGAAGGCGCCGTCCAACAGGAATCAAGTGAGAAAGATATTTAGATTTCAGGCTGCGTGGGGCAGTCATGTCTAGCCATCACTTTGGAAAGCAAGTATCGACGCGCAGCAAACCCAACACGCTCTTGAAAAAACTGGTTGGTCCCAGAGTCAAGGCAAAAAAGAGAGCCGTCTGGCAACTGCAACTTTAGATTGTCTGGGTCGTGGATTTCCCACCGCGATTCCCTACAAAGAAAAGCCACAACTGATGCGATGCCGTTACTAGTCTGCGTCAGTTGCCGAGAGTTTCTTGGGATTTTTCTTTGACTGCGCTCAGCTGTTGAAGCTCCCTGCGCTCCTTTGAAGAAAGCATGCAGATCCGACCACAACTGTCGAATGGATTGAAGTCCAAGGGAGTTTCCCCAGGTGGATCGAATCGTAAGCATGATGGCCTGGGATGCTGCTTGAAGCAGCTTCCGGAAAGGTGAACCTGCGTACGAGATAATGGCTCGTCCCTAGGCAAAGGCCTTTTTCCTTTTTAGGAAAACAAATCCGGTGGCAGATCAGCTTGCGGATCGTTGGCCCATCCGTAATGTTTATTGACCACAGCAGGAATTTTGTTCAGGATAGCTTCTTGATGCTGCTGTACCGTGCCGGGCATCATTTTCAATCACTTCTGGGTCTTGCCAGGTACGAAGAGCTGCTTGGTAATAGAACCGTGGGCAGAAAACCATTAATTGATAGGTAGCAGCATGATCTTCACAGTGGAGCACAAACCTGTCTTGAAGTTTGTCTCGAGCTGCTTGGATGTTTCTCCAGGTCAGCCGTGGCTTGCTTCGCAAAGCCAAGACATGATGGTGGACATCAAGTCTTCAAACGACTGTATAAGCTCAGCTGGCAAACCACGCTTCACTTGCCAACTTTCGAATTGTTTGCAATTGACCTTGAGGAAGGTCTGTCAAGACGGAAAACATGTAGAAGCTGCCCTACCTGCCCCTAGAAAACCCACATGATGGATGAATGGGTGACCGGTCTTCAAAACCTGCCACAACATGTTCATCTAGGAAACAATGAACTGACAAGAAAACTTTGTACTCTTGACAGTGGCAGGGAATCGTTGCCTCAGGATTCGTGGTGATCCATCGTCCCATTGCTTGTTGTCGTGAAGGAAGTCTTTGAGACTTTGGTGACGCTTTTCTCTCGATTTGGACGAAGGTATATGAAAAGGCACAAGGATGTGCTAAAATCGCAAGATATTGCTTCTTATCCATTTAGACACAGGAACTGAAAAAAGTGGGTCTGCAATGATTTGAAGCTGAATTCCCATGGCTCCTTTGGGCCATGTCATGTTCCGAAACTTGCATGCTGCCTTTAACATTGGCGCGCTCCGCTTGGTTCCTCCATGTTCCTCGAGATTGTTACTGAGACGAATTAGTCCGTATATCGCATCTCGTTGGGATCGAATTTGCTTGTCATAGAGAATGTTCCATGCTTTTTGCCTGGACAGTTGAAACCTGTAAGGTTGTGTCCTGGGATGCAGTTTTTTGCGGAGTTTAATTAATCCACAATCTGCGTCCGAACTTTGCATAGGCGGTCTTGCGCGCTTTTGAACTCAAAAGCCTAATGCAGTTCTTTGTAAATGTACAGTGATGAACGGATAATTGAGCTCGGGTTGCCAGGAATCAATGAGCATATGCACCAGGATCCATAACATTCTCAAGGTCTCGAAGGATTCAGTACTGTGCCCATATCTGACAGAAAGTTCAGCTTGGTTCTCCTTTCCGATTTCCAGCTGCTTTAAAGTGGACATCCTGTTGGATAGCCTATTGGCTACACTGATTGATGTGGACCCAATGTACATGTAGGTGGCAGTCTACCGATACTGCTCCACAGAACGCAAGATGGGCCAATCCACTGCTGACTTCATGTACACAGCATTGGGTCGAAGAAATCGTGGCCATGTGCACATGGCAGGATGAACATGCATTGCTCGAAGCTTTCTTCGAAGATTCTCTGCGTGGGATTGTTGTGCCGAGTCACTGAAGAGAAATAGTGGAGCTTAAAGCAGAAGTCCTGGGAACCAGAACATCGAGGCTTTCGGAAAACCAGAACATTTGTGTGTGAAAAAAGTGCATGCCTCTCCAAGGTTGCAAATCTGTTTCTTGAGTGAGCTTCGTTGACGATTGCTCATCACAAGAGCTTGACTGGTGAGTCAGGAAGCTCCAAATTGAGCTGCAGAAATGACTGTTGACAAGTTCTTGATTGTCAATTTCGCTGCAAGATTCTCATCCAGTCCGAGTTTCACGGCAGCACTGGTAAGCTCTTGTTTAGAGTTCAGAGCACCCGTGCTTAAAAAGCTCTTGAACTGTGGTCACATGCTTTCGAAGCTGTGTGAACTTGCCTTTAAAATCCGGCTGAGTCAGTCTTCAACACGATGATCTGTCGCTCCCTTGGGTCTGGAATCCAACTTGTTCTTGGGAAGGCTCTTCAAAAGTTTAGCCCGCTTGGGAGCTCTGGGATTCAGATCTTGAGTGGGCAAATCCGTATTGGAGGGCTGCTGTCCTGAGCATCCCTCTTGTCGGGGGTCAGCTCCAGACCGTGGGCCGCCAAGTTGGCTTTGGCCTTGATCAAGGCAGCTGTTTCATCCGAATTCGCTGTTGCTGGAAGCTTGCCTTTCATGAAATCCACAAGATCCGAAGACAATCGCTGCATGTTTTTAGTGGCATCTTTGTGTTTGTCAGGGACATCTTCTTTGAAAAATGTTCGAGCCCCTTCATCAATATCCAGATCCAACTCGAACTCTCTTGAGGAGTTGGGTGGTAAATACAGCTTCTGATGCTGATCTTGTCCAAACAATTCCTTGGTATCGCCCTTCACGCAGAAGTCGAAATGTTATCCTCGATGGGACAATTCCCATGCTCGGATGTCCTCTATGGGCCGGCCAGCCAAGCTTTGCTTGCGGCTCCATTCAGTAGGCTGCACTTCTCGAAAGAGTTGATTACCTTGCCTACCTACTGGCTGACGATCCCAAAACTTCTCGTCAGAGTGAAAAGACACTGGAAGAGTCGGTCGCAGACTGGTGGGTGCCACTGACGAAGGTAGCGAAGGTAATGCTGAAAGCGGAATTGTCTGACGATCAATCTCGATTAGCCCAACTACGATCATTCTTCTCATCCCAACTCTTGGCATACCAATTGCTCATGGCTTCGCAACAGAAGAAATCGGTGGGAGGATGTTTGAGCTAAGCTAGCTTCTGTTCCTGGTGGGGCCCGACGGACTCCAGGCTGAACATTTGCGAGGCTCGTTTTCTCTGAGCAGAACAAAAGAATTCCAGTCTGGCAGTTAATCGATCAGGATCGTGTTTGTGCTTGTCAAGCACAGATATCCCTCAGGTGAACCGATCAGGGTTCAGCAACTAACAGCCGATCAGGGCTCAATCGAATGGAACCGCAGGCTTCGCACCGATCAGGGTTCAACGCAGTAGGCACTCCTACCGTAGACGGCACGTTGAACGAAAAGCCGTCTAGATACACACTCGTGCAATCCTCCCTCTCTCTGACATGACTTCCAGCTATTTTCTACGTTCAGAGGTAAGGCTTGTATCCACAATGGCAGTCAATAGTTTAATACGACTCCAGGTTTATGGCTTAGCCTGGTCGCCATGCACTTCATAGGATTGTGTTCGGGTTCCAGGTTTCTGGCTTGGCCTGGTCGCCGTTCTCTTGCAAAACTGTTGCAGGTACGCCTGGCTGATCAGGCCAGATATCACCATGCACTGACAGTGTCTTCGTTGGGCACCGGCTGTCAGGCATGCACCGCCCCCCTGCTAAAAAGATGCAAACGACGACCTATCACACATACATGCACATTTTCTGTCGTTCTCACCACGAATCGAACAGTTAGTTACAGTCTGGCTAACTTATTCTGTGGGGCAATTGGTTTAAGATGAAACTACGGCCGAGCTGCGGCGGTTTTGCTCACCTGGCGAGATTGAAGTGAGGGCCAGCTTTGCCTTCACCACCGTTTTCTTTTCATCACAATTCTGCAAGAATTCGGTTCAATAGTGAGGTGAAACCTCGAAAGGTCTAAGACGGCTTGGGGTTTCAGTAGGTGTATTATTTCGAGTGAAAGCAGCTTGCCCCATGAGGTGAGGCGACCCGAGCATCCTTCGACCAGCCATTCCCGTATCGAGGTTCCAAATCTCGTTTGAACATGTAACCTTGGACGACCAGGACACGCCAGGCTTAAGATGGTTTCAGACGTGAGGGTGTTCGGAAACCCACAATTTCGGGATTTCTCTGTTCCCACTGTACGTCTCAGGTGTTCTTTTCTGTGGGGAGTGGACGGGCAAGACCACATAATAGAGCGAGATGAGCCTAGAATCTTGTTGAAAACGCACCTCGCATAAATTCGACAGAGCGCCCCACCGCAGCGACATAGCATCACATGACTCGGAGTGACAAACGCATAGGACATAGAGGCATGGTTCTTTGTAATTTGTGCCTGGTGGCCATGCCTGGCCTAAAGCCTTTCTTGGCAGCAGAGAAAAGACTTTGCCCAGTTCATCTTGCAGAACAAATCTCTTTGCCCGAGGCCGTGGAGACTGAAACATGATCGCTGTGGCGATGGACATGCGAACCGAACGGAGGAAAACCTACAATATGCAAGGCAGAAGTTGTCCGAGCATCAACACGAAGATGACAGGAAAGCTGCTATGATGTTGCAAAGTCGGTCACGCATGCCTGCAGGATTTCCGCTCCAGTGGGAAATGCCATTAGTGCATGCCAGCATACTCACGAGGGGTCCCGCAAACGTTATTCTTCTACATCGCCCACATGCATGCCCGTGAACTTGGCTGACCGGCTGACCCCTCTTTCAGACCTGCATTGCCCGCAGACAGCCAGATGGTATGCTGCTCCAAGAGCAGTAGCAAAGGAGCAACAAAAGTCCCAGCAGCATCCATCCGCAGCCCATCATGTGCCATGGTGGAGGCAGTTCTTTATTTGATCAGGAAGAGATTTGTAAACACCTAGACCGCGTCCGTGAAGTCCAAGGCGGTTGTTGGCGTGACCCTTCACCTGGAGGAGCAGGGTCAAGTATGACACCCCCAAAATCCACGAAACGGTTGCGCTGGCTGGTTTGACGGCACTGAGCTGGTGCGGATCTTGCTGGCATGCTGGCATTTCAATTTACTACTCACATTTCAATGGTTACGTCCGATTGTGACAACTCACCTGCTGAAATCTTAAAGCTCCTCCAGGACTTCTTGATGCAGCAGGGGCTCTGCCAAGCCAGAGCAGCAGCAGTAGCAGCCGCGGCGCTTGCTGTGCCGGCTTCAGCTCCCTCAGTCCCCTGCTGTTTCTTCATGAATGTACATGGAACGTACAGCAGCAAAGGCATTGCCCAGCAGAGACGATGCTTGCTCTCCAAGCGAGGCCCAACGATCCCCCCTGTGTGATCAGTATGAGACTCTTGGCAATTCAGCCGTTTCAGAAAGGATCAGCATCTGGCAGCTCGTATACTGAAGCACTCGAAGCCGTCCAGGTGAGTCTCGCTTCTCAGCGGCTGAGGCTGAATTGGATGCACAGTATCCGTGCAGAAACTGTTGTGGTAGCAGTGCCGCATGTCCGATAGTTTTATAACATCAGCTGGTGGGTGGCAGGTTCATCTGGGTGTTATTGCCGGAATTCTTGGAAAGACCGACTTCGGTGGCTGCTGCAGCTGTCGGTAGCTAAGTCTTAGAATATGGGCCGTATGCAGCATAACAGACCATACTGCCTTCGAGGGAGCAAGCCGTGGCATGCAGTCGTTTCTGTCAGAGCAGAAGAAGCTGCGGGCCAGTCCCCCAGATGTCGTCAACATCCCATGTCTTATCTCTCAGGCCTGGGGTCTTGGAAGCTTGCGGAGCATGACCACGTCAGATTTTGCTCTCCAGCTCCATAAGCGGCTGGCCGATGACTGGCGGCAGAAAGCCCGGAAGCTTCTGTGCTCTGGCTAATGGCCCATAGACTCGAGGCATCCCGCAGACTTTCTCCATATGTAAAATCGGGAAAGGAAATGAGTTTCCTTTCGGGAATAAGCACAGAGATCCGGAAGAGGCAGGTGCTGGTGCAGTAGCACGGGGTTTGGTACCGTCGTCAGCGTCGTTGAGTCTTTGCTTAAACATGAAACAGCTGCCCATAGCACGGAACTGACACTCTGTGAAACGTCGGTTGTTGTGGCAAAGCATTCTGTTTCATGCCGGTTCCTTCTGGCTGGTCTGGCTAACACACAACGGCTGGAAAGTGTAGCTTTGCATGTGATCCAAGCCACCTGGAATTCAATCACATGCACTTGATTGCGGCATACCCACGTTTAGGGTTTAGGTTTAGGGTTTGGCACAAAGGCAGGGCGGGTGCGCGACGAGCCAGTGCACAAACTTATCAGTTTGTTTTAAAAACTTGTCGCCTCTATCACTCTCTGCAACAGGCCTTACAGCTCAGCTCCGAACACAACTTGAAAAGAGGGGTTTTCGAAGCTGCCTGGAGACTGTCTGAGGTAAGCCATTTGAGCCGCCTCCTTACTACTAAGTGTGTAATCCATGTTCTCCACTCCGAATTGGGGGCTGCATGCCACAATTGAGGCCTTCATCCGAATTCTCTCATGTTGGAAGGTGACCATTCGATGCATTCTCTGAGGCCCACATGTGTCTGATGAGATTTTGCGCGAAGCGTGTCTTTGCCCACTGCATCGGGCCTGTAAAGGCCAGCCCTAACTGGCTGCTTGACGAAGGTAGGGTGGGACGGCGCATCTCACAATCGCAACAGTCAGACGAAAGCCATGGACGACCCGAAGGTAACACTCGACAGCTTAGTCAGCGCAGGGGTCTAAGCCGAGGCAGCCAAACAGCCCACACTGCGACCTCCGCTGTTGTTGTAAGGTCCAATTTCACATGCCCCGCCTCCTTGATGTTCTAGCTCTTTTGGAAGGACTGGGCGTACGATGGAGTGAGCACCAAAAAGCTTGACTTAGGCTTGGTACAGTCCAGGATTTGCTTGTAGCTCATGCAGGCCGGTGGAACATTAGTGCCGTCAATGGGTGTACGCTCATCTTCCTTCCATGGGAATAGGTGCTTGCGCAAAGTCGTTGATCGGCAGCCGTGGACTTGGGATGCGAAGTGAAGAGCATTGGCAGCTGCAAGCGCGACAGCAGATGAAGTGAACGGAATGCAGAGACTAGGCGAGCATCAGTCAATCACGCAGCTGTGATAGCTGCTTCTATGTGAGACCGTTGTAGGTCCCGGTGGCGTCCAAGAGAACTTCGTTTCGAACTCATGGAGGTGTTGGCCGTTTCTTGCAGCTCTTGGCTCTTCCCTTGTCCCTTCCTGCCAGGAAGATCAACGTCTCTATGCTGCAACGGTCGCTGACTTGTTTGGGCCTCTGAACCGGCAAGACTCGCAACATATAGTCCGGCCTTTCAGATTGTTCCGTTAGGTTGGGATCCTTGCCAGCTCTGCAGCACTTGGAAGGGCCGTCGACCTACATTTACGACTGCAAGCGGCATGCAGTTATGCCCAGAGCGACAGCGGTTGAGCAAAGGCCAATCTTTTCTGTCCTGCTGCGTGCTCGCAGGCAAGATATGTGATGTGTGCTTAAAGTGGTGGCGCATTGAGATCGTGTGACAGGCATGCTGCAATTGCAGCTCGAGCAGAGGCAGGAAGTTGAAGTCTGCACTGCATCTCAGCCGTGACCATCATGCGGCTTTTTGCTGGGACAACCTGATGCCAAAATCAACGGAGTTGGCAAGTGAGCTTCAGCGTTGTGGCATGTACAGCATCCGAGGCGAACCTTCATAGTTCCAGGGTGTTGTCGAGGGACGTGGTTGGACACCGATTGCAGTTCCTCTACAGGAAGGTGGTAGGTTTGGCGCAGCATGGGTCCACAGAGCCGGAATCCTTCGGGACTGGCTCGGGGATGCACGACAAGTCTACGGCCACCGGCAGCGACCGAAGCATCGGAACATATCAGAACCGTGCTTGTCCTGCAGCACGGCAAGGCAAGTTCTGGATGCCTTGTTGTGCATGTGTGGATATCGTGTCCCCGGAGGCAGTCCGTCTAATAGCAGCAGGGGCGCAACAGCAGAGCGAAGTGGAAACTCGGCGGAAATGCTGCATCGCACCGAAACGTTGCAGGGGGCCAACTTCGGAGCTTCTCTCCATGAATTCGCCTGGTCGATTACACTTCCATCATGCATCCATGCATGTATGCACAGCGCATCAGCTGCATAAGAGATGTCACTTCCCCTAGCAGGCGTGCCTTTGGTTTCGCTTTTCCAGATTTCCTTGGCACTCGAATCGTTGAGTACCTTCATGTCTTGTCCATGTTTTAACAACGGGCTCGAGTCCAAGGAAGGCTCAGTACAGAGTCAGAGGTGCTAGCCATTAGGCTTGGCACAACCCACCACAACATGCCATCAGGGTGAGGTGTCGGGCCTCTTACATTTCCGCCAGGCACATCCAGGCACTAGGTCGCTGTCCAGGCTCCGAAAGGTAAGGATAGCAACAAATGTTGAGCAACCTCAAAACAGGATTCACTTCCGACAGACAAAGCACCGAGAACCTCGATTGGCCGGTCCAGAGCGTCGAATCATGTGGCCCCAGGCTCCAGGCTCCCTCGCACCCCATAACTTTCGCAGCGGGAGGCTGCGACTCCTGCCTCAGCTGCCGAAAGGTGCACAGTGCCATGTGCCAGCTTGTTTTCTGCATTGGACAGCTTTTGCCTTAAACATGTTGCCCTTTGCTAATTGCAAGCAGGGGGGAGCCAAAGGCGCAAAGCATGCCAGGCACGCTGCAGCTTTGCTAGGAAGTGACTGGAAAGTGCAGCCTTGCTTTTGTTTGACAGCAGCTTCTTCCACGAGGGCGCTCTGTTTGCCGATAGTCGATGCTCGACCGCAAACAGTCACCGCCAGCCGCATCTGCACCGGGCATGTCATGCACTGCAGAAAATGTTTTTTTGCGCTGAGAGAATTGCGAATGCCGAATCAACCTTCCAACGACGCCCTTCGGATTCTGTTGGCAGTTCAGGGCCGTCACATCGGGAGCGGCCAGTTCCCCTGTCGGGTATGGCTGGACCGATTCGCTGCAGAAGTGGCCTCTATCAGCAAAACCAAGGTCTGCGTGTCTTGCACTTGGTGGACCTTTGTGCTGCAGACCTCAGCGGACTGCTGCCCCATCAAGCCATCCCGGAAGGACACAGCATGCAAACATTTTGACGTGACATTGCAACCGTGGGTATTTGCAAGTGCTTGTCTTGTGGTCAAGTTCAGGCTACTCACAAGACAGCGCTTCGAATCCATCCTGCCAAGAACTCGTGCTGGCATGCGCCCACAGCCGCTTCCTTCGAAGCACTTGCATGCCCTGCTTCAGGCCCAAATCTTCACAAACTTCTTCTGCTAGAACCTCAATTGTCGAATCACAAGGGTCTCTGCTCTCGCTGAGCACAAGCAGAAGGCTGAATCTGCCAGCAGCAGCGCCAGGTCTCACTGTGCAGGCATTCCAAGAGCTAGAGTTTTCCATCATGTCTGAGTAGTCGGCTCCGTCCGTTTTTGTGCGCCAGGTGGTCGAAAAATTCCTGTCA